GAACTTAAGGGTGCTAGAGTCACCACTTTAGGCATGTGGCCTTGAGCTTTTAGGAACTGTGCTAATGTTTGCCCAGGATTTTTAAATTTAATTTATAATTTTTTTACTATGCAAACCTGGCTGATCAAGATTTTTAATGTAGGCCATGGGGGAGTTGAAAAAAAATCTGTGCTAAATATTGTTGAACTAGTGCTGAACAATCTGCGATTCTTGTAGGCCAAGGTTGAAGCCTAGTCAAAAAGAGGGCTCGGAGGACCCTGACTAGAGTTTGGTCAAGGTGACCAAAGGTGACAATCTTTGTCAGTCCCTCCTCTTGTTCAAGGAAAGAAGAGATGTTCATATTTCCTGGAAGCAATGTAAATTCATTTCTTCCTTGATCATCTTTTGTTCATTAAGGACCAACTGAACCATCTATTGAGGCTGGGTAGTAGAGGATTTTTGGTGGATGGTTCAAGTGACTTCCATAGAAGTGGGGGACATTTCTGTGGAAACACAAATAAAAACAAAGATTAATGGTTGGAGCAGACTATAAATCCATATTCTGAGTCCAGAGGGCAGCCAGTTGAGACGATATCTAGATGTTGAGCTCCAAGTGTCATTAGATGGTGTAGTGAGAATGGCAGTGGCAATCTGATGGATTTCTTGATTTGTAGTTTGAATATTTGTGGTGATGGCATAGACATCAGTGTCATAGTCATGGTTATTTCCCAGAGCAGGGCATGGAAGATACAGGAATGTCAGTGGACTTTCTGAGTGGCCCATGTCCCAGCAGCTCTGGGCATGTAGATTGTCCACACATGAACTGTTGTATGATGGATTTTATTATATTAAGTAGTCCAGCTTCAGCTCACAGGGATTTTTTTAGATCCTAGGGAAAAGGGCAACTACAAGTAACCTGGAGTTCTGATAAGGATATGGGTAGTTAGCAGTTGAGTTTTATTTTTTAAGTTTTTTTAGAAACAAGGGCTTGGTGTGTTGCCCAGTCTGGTCTTGAACTCCTGGCCTCTAGCCATCCTCCTGTCTCAGCCTCCTGAATAGCCGGGATTACAGACGCAAGCCACCATGCCCGGCTTCAGGGCAGTTAGATTTTAGTTCTCAATGATACCAGGTCAGGAGAGAGGGAGAAAAATTAGAAACATTAGTTTGAAGAATTGTGGCCAAATATGGAAAGAAACTAGAAGAATTGAGAATTTGATAAGGGCTGACAAAATGTGTAAGACAGCAGGATCTAGTCCAATTTACAGGTAGATAAAACCTCAAAGAAAATAAATAGAACTAGAATCTGGTAATCCACAATGTTGTGTTAATAGTTTTTTCATTGAATCATAAAATTTTTCTCTAAAGTCACCCCCGCCCCCCCTTTTTGAGTAAAAACAATAAAAATGAAAGTGAGATTATTCTTGTTTGCAAAATAAGCCTGGTCTCCTTAGATTTGGCCTGTTTATTTACGTAAGAGCAGTGAGAATGCTAATTGACCACATAGGCCTTTTTGAGTTTGCTTTGCTGGAACCTTTTTTATAAGGAGTCTCAGACAATACTTTTAAAAACCTCTTGAGGCTAGGAAGCCAAGCCAAGAGCTTGCCACCAGACTTCCTCTGTGGTGCCTGTAGATTCGTGAATTCATCTCTTCTTGAGGTTTCCCCTAAATACCCCAAGGTTTCTAGGCCTGCTGGGAAGTAACCTTTCTCACTCATATGCAAGGCTGGGAACCCTGTAAGCCAGGTAGCATGCCATTTTTTCAAAGAGGGTTTTTAAACATTGGCTCCGTAAAGTCAGCTTTTTTAGTTCCTTAAAACTGTCTGCCTGTATCTGATTTTATGCATTATTTTAAAATACGACATTTCAGACTAAGCTTGGTTACATAATCAATCTTCCCAATTATGTCTTGTTATAAGGAGGGCAGATTCTTATTGAACCTATGCAGATAACTATATTGCCATGTAAATAACACTCAGTGGGAGTTTCCAAATTCTAGAGGGATCAGGCAGGGAGAAAAGATAAATGTTTCATTTTTGTTTATAAATGTTTAATTTATTAAATTGTTTTGAGTTATAGATAGCATAAGAGAAAAGGGAAAGGGATTCCTTATATCATATCCAGAAATAGAACATTAAAGAACCAGCAATATTTTAATCAAAAGCCATAAAACAGCATAATCATCCTTCAGCAGTTCATTCAGTCCTATGTAATTCATTTCTTGTTCTGCTTGATCTTGGGTTAGCAGTTTTATGAATCCATCAGCTTTCTCTTTAGTGTTTTAGTCTCTTTAGTCCTGATTCAATCCAGTGGTACGATCTCAAAGTTATTTAAGTAATGCCATCAGAAGCTGTGCCCCAGAGTGCCTGGCACGGTCATTTTCCATGAATCTCTGTGATAGCTCCTTTTTGTTAAGACAGGTACTCTGGCCTGTAGCTTTTAGGAAGACATCAGGGTAAAGCAGTAACTCTGTGAAGGACAAAAGAGTTAAATGGGCCTATTTCTAATTAGCTTTGGAGGTGTCTGAGTCCCTTAAGAGCCCCAGTGGGGGCAGGGACCTAAAGTTTGAGTGACTGTAGGTAGTTGAGGGACTGGAGTGGGGTGGGAAGGGTCTGGCAAGAGTGAGAAGGAGGGGAGGGGACCTTTCAGAGGAGTGAGGGAGCGGAAGGAAAGATGGAAGGTGGTAAAAGGAGGAAGGGGAGTGGAGATGGTGGGAGTGGAGTGGTCTTAGAGGAGCCAGTTTGGGAAGATCTTAAGTTTCCCAAAGAAGCCATTGAAGTTCCAGATTATCCTTAGTAAAGTCATGCCAACGAGAAAGGAAATGGACAGAGCTAGTGCCATAGCAGTGGCACATATAGTCAGCAGGGATTTGAGAAGGGCGTTTCAGTCAACTGGGAAGTTCCCATGGAAGGAGCAGGATCAAGTAGGGAGAACAGAGAGGACTCAGAACAAAGAGCCAGGAAGAAGACCAGCCCAAGAGTCAGGGAGTGAATCCCTGCTGGAAGCAAAGAGTGAGGAAAAAGAATTTCCAACCCAGGAAGTACCCTTCAGACAAAGCGTGGGACTCTAACTTAGCTTCGGAACATATGCTTAGAGTCATAAGGATCAAAATCTGCCCTCACTGTGTTTCGATGGACGTTTGTCCCAAGCACTGGATTGGGAGTTAGACTCACCAGTGGCTCCCCCATTGATCAGTTGGCAGTGAAGACAAAGGCATCAAAGGTGCACTCCTGGGGTCCTGGGTGAGAGGTCCAGAGGGTCCAGCGGTGAATCTGATCCCACTTGAGTCACAGTACCAGATAGCTGTCACAGGTAAAGCCAGACACTAGTTAGAGTGGTAAGGACAGATTTTAATCAGTAATAAACTATTGCAATAGGGAAGAGGTTCCAGCATGAACTCCATTTTTGTGCAGAGGTGACTGGACATTGTAAAGAGAGAATGAGGGAGTGGGCAGGGGGAAGGAATGGTTGAGGCTTGAGCCTAGTCAGGAAAATGGAAATTTACAAAAAGTCAATAAAGCGGAGGTTGGTCCATGTGAAACTCATCTGGGATTGCTAACTGAGTGGCACTTATCAAAGTTAGGCCCCTGTCCTCCCACGGAGACTGGGCGACAGGCGCCCTATCTTCAGTTCAGGGGTTGGTTGCAACAAACAATAAATTCCTTTGGCAACCAGGAGTGTTCCCAGGTAGGAACTTAAGGGGGCTGGAGTTGCCATCCTAGGGATATGGCCTTAAGCTATTGGGAACCATGCTAATGTTTGCTTAAGATTTTTAATATGGTGGTGGGGGTGGATGTGGACAAAATCATTTGTGCCGAGAGTGTGCAGTTTTTATAGGCCAAGACTGAGGCCTGGTTCTGAAGAGGGCTCAGAGGACCCTGACTAGAGTTTGGCCAAGGAGAAAATCTTTGTCCCCTTCCTCCCCCACCAGGATTTGTGTGAGCTTTACCATCTGGACATTTCCTATAACCACCTGCATTTGGTGCCGAGGATGGGACCCTCAGGGGCTGCTCTGGGGGTCTTGATACTGCGAGGCAATGAGCTTCAGAGCTTGCGTGGTGAGTAGGGGCATGTGTTGTGGCAGACATGGAGGGGAATGGGGGAAGTGGGAGACTTAGGGTGGCCTCGGGACCACAGGCTTCTAGAGCCTTATGAGGGCTCATAGGCAGGGCCGAGGTGCTCCCATCTGTCTTTCTATCGCACTCTCCCCCAACACAGGTACCATCACACTCACCTGCACCTACGTGCACTCACCCTTCTTCTGTTCTTGCCTCCACCCTAGGCCTGGAGCAGTTGAGGAACCTGCGCCACCTGGATGTGGCATACAACCTGCTGGAAGGACACAGGGAGCTGTCGCCGCTGTGGCTGTTGGCAGAGCTCCGCAAAGTGAGACATGGGTGCTTTGAGGGCCTGGGAGCCACCATTGTGTGCCCCCATCCTGTGTTAATTTGGTCAGTGCCTTCTTCACACTGGAATGAGGTGGCTGAGGGCCACATCATTCTCCTTTTCCTGCCCCTCAGCTCTGCCTGGAGGGGAACCCTTTGTGGTTCCACCCTGCGCACCGAGCAGCCACTGCCCAGTACTTGTCACCCCGTGCCAGGGATGCTGCTTCTGGTGTGAGTGATCGATTGTCCTCTGTCCACTCTGTTTCTCTTTCCTGCCCAGTCCTACCCCACCCCTGTACCCTCTTGCCATGCCTGGGTGAGAGGTCAAGGACCTGGATGGACCCCTTGCTTATTATGTTGTTAATACCTGGAATTCACTGGGGGTGGGCTCCACCAAGAACCCCCCCTCCTCTTTTTTCTTTGCTCAGTTCCTTCTTGATGGTGAAGTCTTATCGCTGACAGATTTTCAGGTCAGTGTGGTGATGGGGCAGGGATGGGGGAAGACATGAAGGGAGGGCACTGGCGAGGGAGTCAGAGGGGTGGCCAGGAGAAGGGTCTTCCTGGTTAGTGGAAAGTGGGGTCCTGCCTCCTGGCTAGCCTGGGCAGGGCATAGGTATTTCTCTGGCTCCGACCTCTTTCTTCTTCCTGTTGTCACACGCCAGACCCCTTCATCCTTGGGACTTGGCCCCATGGCCCCGCCTGTGTCCTGGCCAGTGGGGAGTACTCCTGAAACCTCAGGCGGCCCTGACATAAGTGACAGCCTTTCCTCAGGGGGCCCTATGGTCCAGCCCCCGCTTCATAAGGTTAAAGTAAGTGATGTCGTTGGCTGCCTTGTGCCTGGGGTTAGGTGTCTTTATGGGACCTCTGGGTTGTTGGTGTGGAATAGCATGGCCTTATACTTGCTCGTAGTTGGGGTTTTTCCTGGTAGGTTGGATGGGTGGCCATGGATGGCAGGGCAGGAGGCCCTGGCTTTCATAGAACTTTGTTCCTCTACCCGACCTCAGAGCCGAGTCCGTGTGAGGCGGGCAAGCATCTCTGAACCCAGTGATACGGACCCGGAGCCCCGAACGCTGCACCCCTCCCCGGCTGGTAAGTCAGCCTCACCTGACTCATCCCTCTCCCCAGTCCAGTTCTCTCTAATCTTTTAAGTTACTGTGAAGATCTGGTAGGAGACATTGTATTTTTTGGTGGAGTAAAACATTGTAGAGGATCTCTTAGTCTTTTCTCTTTGCTTTTAGACTAGGGAAGGAAGAAGAAACTGCTGCTGGGCAGCCTTTCTCAAAGTTTTTCAAGGAACATTAATCTCTGGGTGTCAAGAGGTCATATAGGCCGGGCGTGGTGGCTCACGCCTGTAATCCTAGCACTCTGGGAGGCCGAGGTGGGTGGATTGTTTGAGCTCAGGAGTTCGAGACCAGCCTG